GACCGGAAGTGATCGCGGACTGGTCCACAGACTGGCAAACTTTAGTCCGGAAATGACTGGCATACTGTGGAGCAGCAGCCAACCCTTTTTATATACTAAGTACTTAGTATATAAGTACTTAATCTTTTATATACTAAGTACTTAGTATATAAAAAGGGTTGGCTGCTACTCTGCGGTATGCTGTTCACTTCTGGACTTCCGTTGTGCTACTATTGACGTATGTCTATCCTCCTTTTTTTTTTTTTTCTCTCTCTCTCTCCCTGTAAGAGTTCATTGGTAATGTAGTTGTTGTTTAATTTCACCCACAGTTATCATGAGGGCATTTGGTACATTTGGATCAGAGTTACCATGTTTTAGGACAGGCATGTGTAGGATCCTGATGGGTTTATCAGGGATGTTGACTATAGCTTCATAGTTGGTAGGGTAGGGTAGGAAGGGACCTTAGCAGATCATCCCCCCCCCCCCCCCCCGCCATGGCAAGAAAGAGTACTGGGGTCAAACAACCCCGGCGAGGTGTTCATCCAGCCTCCTCTTAAAGACCCCCAGGGTAGGAGCCAGTACCACTTCTCTTGGAAGTTGGTTCCAGATCCTAGTCACCCTGACAGTAATGTAGTGTCTCCTGATATCTAGCCTAAATCTACCCTCTGCCAGCTTGTGAACGTTATTTCTTGTCGCTCCTGGTAGCGCTCGGGGGAACAGGGACTCCCCCTATGCCTGTTGATCCCCCCCTGACTAGTTTGTAAATGGCCACTAGATCCGCCCCCTTAGCCTTCTCTTGTGGAGGCTGAACAGGTTCACATCCCTTAACCACTCCTTGTAGGGCCTGCCCTCCTGACTCCTAATCATGCAGGTGGCCCTCCTCTGGACCCTCTCCATGTTGTCCACATCCCTCCTGAAGTGCGGCACCCAGAACTGGACTCAATACTCCAACTGCGGCCTGACCAGTGTCGCATAGAGGGGGAGGATCACCTCCTTGGACCTGCTTGAGATGCATCTGTGGATGCATGACAAGGTACGGTCGGCCTTCCTGACCGCTTCACCACACTGTTGGCCCATATTCATTTTGGCATCAATAATGACTCCAAGATCCTTCTCTGCTTCTGCCCTGATGAGAAGGGAGTTTACCAGCAGTGAAGTAGCAGTGGAGTTGCATTGCAGTTTAAGCACAAAAGAAGATATAATAAAGACATGAGTTCAGCAGCCTTCTGTATATCTGCCACTTTTTGAGGCAAACTACTAGGTAAGATAGACCAGGGATCTGACCTACTATGGAACACAGTCTATTGATCTGTGGCACAGTTGTACACGTACACACTGCTCAAACTAATTGGAGCTCTGAATAATGTGCAATTGCTAACAGAATTTGGTATTACAAGTCTGATTTCCTCAAACGTATGGATATGCAGTTGTGCTTTAAATTCCTGTGGTTGTGTGAACAGGTGGACAATTTAAATACATCCAGTTATTTTCTTCCACAGCTATTGTGTATTTGCATGCATGGTGATGCATAAATTTCAATTTTGTGGAAATTAACATTAGAAAAGAAGATCTTTAATAAGTAGTAAGGAGAGAAGCTGTGAGTAGTATGTGGAACCTGGGAGATCCTTTTGTATTTTGAAATCTGATCTGTTACACTGGTCTAATGCAGAGGAGAATTTGTCTTGTAGTATAATAAGACATAATTGAGATATATTGTTGTATGTACATTTCTTATTACAGTCTGAGACATCATTGCATTTTTGCTAAACCCAAACTCTGAAGACAGTCTTCATAAAATCTTCGTACTGAAAATGTTTCCAGCTTTCTGTCTAGTAATTGTTAAAGTAAGCTTCTACTATGGATCAAAAGACAAGGGCATGTATAAAAATGGTATAATAATTTCAGAAATGATAAAATAGTGTTTTGTTGAAACATATACACACAAAGACAGCTGATATTAATTACAGGGAATTGAAATGTATTTAATATTCAGTGTAATCTATAATACATGATAAATTTGCAAATACATTTAAGCTTGTCTCTTCAGAATTTAGGGGGGAAAAGCGTATGTTCTATCAGCTTTTTCAAAGCTTTGTTCATCTGCCTTTAGGAGTATATTGTAAAGTTCGACCAGCAAGCCTTTCTTTCCCAAACGACACAGCAAGCATTGAAAGTGTGGTGTATGTTGTAATTCTAAAGTGACACCAGATTGGAGACTGACAGGAATCTCTTGGGTGAAAGTGACAAGGTTGTGATATTTTCACAATAAACTGACTGATGTCTTTGGAAGATCTGTTTTGATTTCAAAGGACGTCTTATTTTTTTTGGATGGAAATGAAAGCATTTTAGACACGTGATTAAAAAGCCTCTCACTATATAATAAGTAGAATGATAAAATGTCAGCTTTTATGAGCTACTTACAATTTGATTCTGGTAAAGACCATACCAATACATGCAACAGATGTACTAATTACGACAGTATCTTGGTTTCTACCTAATTAATATGTAGTAAATTATTTAAAACATGGAATGCATTGCTTATTTTCTATTAAAACTGAATTGGAGCAAAACTATACAACTAATCTGATGAGATAAATAATTTATTTCAAGTAATGTTAACAATAATAAATATTTAAATAGATTATTCTGTGAAGTATTTCTATTGTATTAAGATTTTAAATGAAATGGACAGTTGTACTTAATTTTGACATTGTTTTGTTATTTTAACCTTTTTGTGCATTTGTAAATAGCAATACAGACTCTTTTTTCTACGCTATATTGCTAGCAGAAAAGGCAGAAGATAGATTTTTTTTCTGACTGCAAATCCTTTTTTCAGATTTCTGTTTGTGGGGCTTTCTTCTGGTACTGACTTTTGAATTAAACATGATGAAATAACTGACGTGGCAAGGCACAAAAACACGTGTGTTTTAAGTGATTTATTTAATATATAATATTCTTTCAGTTATGACTGAGTAAGAGTAAAAGAGAATGCTTTCTTATGTAGATTTTTTTCATGTACTTCACTTGAGTCCTTGTGCTTCATTGCTTATTGATTAGTTCATTACAGTAACATTATTTCTGTCTTCTCTTTACATAAGGTTAATAACACCAGAAAAAAATAACTATAACACTAGTTTACTGTTAAGTTGCATGTAAATTTTATTGTTCTTTCTTAGAACTTGAATAGTGACTATTTATTTGATTAAAATTGTAGAATATTGTTAGTATTGCTGGCTTATCTAAGAGCTTTTTTGGAGGGCCTCTGATTCCATGCTGGGTTTCATACAATTTTTGTACAGTCCATATTTACTTTTATTGATTGGGCAGTTGAAAACATACCATTTGAAATTCTGTAAGGAATTCATTACAAGTTCCTCCGTTTGTTTATGCCATATCAATGTGTACCCCTCTTTCTATGAAGCTAATAAGTGATTACAAGGAATTTCACTTCAAAGGCATTACTCCCTATCCTTTCAATAAGTTCCCCGATCTATGATTTGATATTCTATAGCATTTCTAAGAAACAAACTTCTTCGTGTTTAATGTTGGTCTTTCTCAGGGGAAATAACATAGCTTAGGTGCATATAAACATTAAAATAACCTGAGAGAATGTTCCCAAGTTTGTTCTTCTGGTAAAGAAATTTACCCAGAGTTGCATGTACAAATGTTCATATACTGAGGCCTTGAAAAGTGGAGAGCTTTCAGTGCTGACACTGTGCAGCCAGGCAGGGGCTGTTTGAATACATCTTAGCATGCTTTGTAGGTTTCCTTAGTCTTCCTGGTGGCAGATGGCAGCAGTGCCCTGATTGGCTGATACAGACTGCTCATGGTCTGCCTGCATTTCTGTACAACAGGGCAGATGCTGGAGGACCATGTTCTCCTCTGAGAGAAGCCACAACATGTACAGACATTCTCTTTCCCATGAGAAGTGATTTATCCCAGGTTTTTCCCAGGTGGTTTTCCTCCTGAAGCAGCCATTTTCTCTCTAGCAGAACAAGCCTGAACACTTGTACAGTTGTGATTTCTCCAGTGACTTTCTCAGGAGAAACTGAAAGTCTGTATGAGGACTTAGAGATACATGTTCCCCTGCTTGTTTGGCAACCTTGTCATTCTTTATACTTAAATAACTGAAGTGAAGATCACCAGTGCACTTGAAATGACTGAACTGACATTTGCTTATAAAGTAAATATTCTTTTTAAATAACTGAAGGGTAATAACTTATACTTTTCATGACATACTGTAGATTTGTAAAACATCACAGATGAATAATACCATAATATAAAGTAATACTAAGTGTGTGTAAAGAATGAAAAACAAATGAGTTGAATGAATGGAAAATTGTTCAAGAGGGTAACTTTTTTTTTCATCTCTGTATGGCAGAAGTCTTTTAGTACTTGTTTTGATATTTAACTGACAAAGTTCAAGAAGTAAAAAACTAATAGAGAGAAATCTGTCTTGCCATTTCAAGCTTGCTTTTTAATTCCTTAGTACTTATTGCACAGTTGATGTTATTTTTCTTCTGCTCAGTGAGAGGTACCAGGGAACTGTCACAAATTCTGTCCCCTCTTCTGAGGTGAGCATTCTACAAACAGACAAAGCAGATGGAATATAACTGTGTTGATCCTTAACCTCGGTAAACATGAGGTGGGGATCAGTGGGGAATCAATAAATAAAGGAAAAGGGACACATGGCACTCCAAACCAACAAGTTTGACAGGTTTTTTTTTTGTTTGTTTTGTTTTTTCAACCCCCTTCCATTTCATTGTACAATCAGAACAGGTGACCAAGTAGAGATACTGTCTTTGCTGCAGTTAGGATTTTTTTGCTGCAGTTGTTAATTCTTTAAACAGACATTGACTATGGAAGATCTTCATTGTCAGTGACAACCAACTTCTCTGATATTGCTTTGTCTCCACATTTTAAATTTAAAATTCTGGAAAAATGTAAATATTTGACAAAGGTGTATGTGTGCATAAAACTATCTTCCTCTGCAGACTCTTCGGCTACAAATATGTTTGATCTTTTGCTAGGAGAAGACTGAAAATATTGAGGATTCCTCAACTGTGGCTGGTAATTTTCTTTGTCTTGGAAAAACATGGATGAATTCTTTTCTATATTGCTGGTCTTACTAAGCTATTCAAATAGCTAGTGTAGATGATTTCATTCTGTGGTTCTGCTGCCTAAATTGACCGATTACTATAATCTCTTTTAAATACTTCTTTTTTCCTTTAAGATCTTACATTTCCTCAAGAGAATATAATAGAAAGCTTTAAGAAAAAAAAAATCAATCTGGGTTACCAGACTCTGCTGCTCTTCAGACATGAGGGACTGGTAAAACCAAGTCAAATGATGTACCATTCATATTCATGTAGGTCAGGGAGCCTTTGTTCAAAAGGAAGTCTCATAGGTGTTCAGTGTCATATGTAATCTAGGGTATTTTTGCTGCCTTTTTTATATGGAAGATGCTAGGTACAGAGGAGGCAGAGAGAGGAAGGACAAATGAAATTAAGGTGTCTACAAGATTTTTCTATAGTTATGGGGTTAATGGGATAAAAGAAACTTGGAGTTAAAGATAATAAAGGCCTCTCTCTCTCTCTCTTTCTCTCAGAATTGGGAATGATGCTCAGGAGCCTGCTTAGAAAGGGAAGATTGGTGCATGCTAGTTTGTCTGCAAATAAATCATGAGCTGGAAGAAAGATAAACTCTGACTTTAGCAAAGGAGTGCAAGGAAATCAGGTAAAATGCAATGTTCTGTATTAGTAGAGAAATAATTTATATTGTGCAGCATAAACATCTTAAAATCTATGTTGCAAGGATGTGTCTCTCATTTAATAATTCCAAAATTATATCTCTTTCTTGCTTTATCTAATATGTATCCCCCAGAGAGACAGGATAAACCTCAAAGGAATGTCAGAATATTGGTCACTGAAAACAAATAATGAAATTTGGGAGAAGGAAATGCATGTTGGTCAAAGCTGAGGCATTACAGAATCATGAGCTAAAAACTGATAGAGAAGATGGTGAGGATTATAGTTTTTGATGCACTTTCAAGATTTATTTTTTATTATCAGAACGAGAGAGAATTGATAGTTTGCAAACTGTTTTCCAAGAAATTAGCAATATTGCCTTCTAAATTTATAAAAGGGAGATAAGGTCTAAGGTATCTAATGTTTCTTAGCAAATGAATGAGAAAGCAGCTAAGAGCTCCTGATTCATCTCTGTACAAAGAACAAACTCAATATGCACTTTTATAAACTAACAAGTTTTATTGTTAGTGCCTACGTTCTGTCTATCATTAATAACTATTACAAATGGAAAAGTGCTCTTTAGCTGATTTGTCATTCATGCTAAAGAAATAAGCATTGTTTTGGATAATAAAAATGTGTTTAACCACTGATAAGCAAAGCTTGAATTCATAGGTCAAAAATTGCTACAAGTTTAGGCTGTGCTTAAAAGTAAAGCTGTGTATGTCACCTGTTGTTTTGAAAGAAATGCTTCTTGTTGTTCAACCTAAATGTACAGTGTCTATTCTTTCAGGGAAAAAAAGAAGCCCAGACAAGCCTTTAATGAGAGGATACAGTCTTGCCAATACATGCACATGGAGAGTCTGGGAAACAGCAGCAATGTAAAAATGGGAACTAAGGCCCATATAACTTCCCTGTGGTGCAAAGCATTCAGGACCTCTGTAAACTGAACAGGCTCTGTGCTCTTGCAAAGAAATTGAAATGCTATGTGGGTGGGCATCCTCCAGATGCTTAGCACCAAAAGGCAGAATCCTGCCCCTTAGTTACAGGTGATCTGTCTTCTTCCTAGTGGAGACTGGCAGCAGTACCTTTTTAATGTTTGTCTAATATGCTTGGCTGAGTGACAGTCAGGGAGACAAGAGGACAATTAACTCAGTCTGTAGCCCCAGACAATAGCCCTGAAACAGTTCCAAGGTGCTGTAACATTATTTCAAGTAATCCCTACTCAAAAGGTATAGTTCCCTTTGCACACCTACAGCCATCTTTTACTTTTCCCAATTTTAGTTGTAAAAGGATTACTGCAACCTGGAATTTTACTATTACTTGCATATTTCTCTGCAGGCCAAAGAGGGTTGACTGTGGACTGAAAAGCTGTATGTGGAATTCCCACAGAGTTCACAACATGGGCAATATTGGATGGAGAGGAGGGAATAGGGAGCAAAAAATATTAGTTAATAAGTCAGCAGTCAGAACTCAAGCCAAATGAAGATATAAGCCAAAGGTCTAGAGAAGTGAGTTGGAACAAAAACTATATAGTTTCATTGTTGACCACTGTGGACCTTCAGTGTTGTAGTAACTATAAATGCAACGATACTTGCCATTATCTTTTCCTTACTGAGAGAGCTTTCTTGTCCAGTGATTGATATCTCCTGGGATGGCTGCCAGTAACCCGCACCGTAATGAACAAGAAGAATTTTAAAGAGGGTAATAAAGCATAGGTTTATGGGGAGCTCCTCAAGTGGGGATAAACATGGAAGAGAGCATAAATGCATTTTGATTTATTTATTTTTTTAAACAATGGATTGACAGAGGTGTAGGCATTGTAGGCCAACTGGAAGCAGCGATGGATGTCTTGGAAATAATAGTCTGGGAGAGAGAGGCTATGAAGGGCTTGAAAATAAAGCTTTGTGTTTGATTAAACAAAGTTAGTGAGAATCCTCTGGAGGAGAAGCTAAAAGATCAATTAGATGAGGAGAATGAAGGGAGAACTATCGCTAAAGCCAGAAGAAAAGACTTTAGAGAAGCAGGGTCAGTAGTATTAGAGAACAAGGAAGATGAGGATGTAGAACTGGTTTTGAGTTGTGGCTGAGGCTTTGGCTAGAACAATTTTAAATGGAGAACAAAGTGTAAATAAAAACCAGGTTTGAGTATTGATTTGAAAAAGGATCTTCAGTTAGTCTTCTATTCATTGATCTTAAAGATGAGGGAGATGAGGCAAGTGGCATGAAGCATATGATGGGAGTGACAAAAAAAACAAGTTTGCATTGAGAGAAGAAAGAGCTACAGGAGAGTTTGAGGTTAAAAGAGAGTAAAAACAAGAATAAGGAGATGAAACTGATCATGAGTAAGGAATATCATAGGATGGCAAAGGGGCATTACTGGGACAAGTGGAAAGTTTGAAAAGAATAACTGATGAGAACCTTCTGCATCTGTGATGAGGGAGGATGGCAGAGGTAGGGCAATGGAAAGCAGACTGAACAGTGAGGGAGTAGTGTTGTACCTTGTCTATTTTCTCTCAGAAAAAGTGGCAAGTTCCTGTGCATAGAGAGAGAGACCTTAGAAGGCTTTTTTTTTTTTTTTAACAGGAGATGGAAAATTGCAGAAAAGACTATTGTAACTTGTTAACTGTAGATAAGTGAAGCAGGATGTAGACCAGGGTGGCATTTTATAACCTAACCAGTTCAGTGAGGCATAAGCTTTTGTAGACAATCACCTACTTCATCAGGTGCTAAGAATGGATTCTCAGAGAGGAAAGATTTTGTATGGAAGAGGAAAGTACAGGCAGCAGGAACACTACTAAAAGCAGTAATACAAGGTTTAATTAGATGAATTAAGATGAACAAAATGGTTAACACCTGGAGGGACACCCAAGTTACTCTCTAGTTCAGGTAGTCCATGCTCCCTGTTGAGACTGTGGTTAATACAGTCCAGGCTGTGGATGAGTTCTTGTTTTGCAACTTCATGTTCAAGTTGTTTTTGGTTAAGGAAAACTACTCTATGGTCAGTGATAGAAGGTCCAAAGAGGTTAAAAAGTTTTTTGTCAAATGTTTTATGCATTTATAGAACTGATGCAAATTGGTGTCTATTCATTCCTTTGCACAGGGACTGCTCCATCTGGCCACCGTAGACAGCCAAGGGACAATGTGGTTAGGGACAGGCATTCAAATAGCCTGAGCTTGAATTGATTCAATCTTTGCAGGTTAGTGCAACCTGGCTAGGCTGGCAGGATGCTGTGATTGGCCCAGGAGGGAATTGATAATAGTGTTTATCACCCAATTAAGAAAACAAAAGAGGGATGTTACCAGCTACTTGTTGATTCTACCTGTTCATTCAGCATGGACCATAGCCAGCATGTGGTCTAATAGCTATTGGACAGACACCTCCTCAGCAAGGAGGGAATTCCTGCTTAGCAGCGAGTGGTGAGAGGAGGGGGAAGCAGCCCGCAATCTCTGTAGCAGCAGCCAGGGAACAGGGAGGAGGGGCCAGCCCTGCTGTGGAGCAGAGAGTCCTGCCCAGCCCAGAGACCATGCAGGGATGCTGAAGGTGTCTGGTTTATCTTAAACCAGCAAGGGGTCTGGGACAGACATTGCATAAACCGGTTGAGCCAAATCGGTTAAGTCTGATACTACATTCAACTAGGTTTATCCCAAACTGGGTTCAGCCATTCTCAAACTGGTTTATGTGCATTGAATATCTGTTCTGTTACAGGTTTAAACCAGTTTATGATCATTTAAACCAGATTATGTGCAATGTCTATCCCTAGCCTATATGCTAGTGATGCATGTATAATGGTGGAGGAGGAGCAAGAATCCTAGATATTATAAGCTGTGTTATGTAGTCCAGTGATAATGGAGTCTGTATTGATGAGGGTGCACTGGGTCTGTAGCAGGTCCCAGTGGCTTAATGGGAATTTGAGTTAGATAGGCTGTTACTGGAGAAATGCTGCTTGAGGTTGGGAGACCATCTGTAAGACAGGACAGGTTTGTCCTCCAGAGTTACCTTGAGATGGTCATCATCTTTGAGGAGGAGTTGAAGGTCATTAATGATGTGTCCAAGGTGGAAGCTGCAAGTGATGACCAGGGATTTTGTTGCCTTTGTCTTGGAGTTGGTATTTTAGCACGTCAGAGCAGGGTTTGTGTGTGTGGCTTTTATTTTAAGCAGCTACAGTTCTGGGATTTTATTTTAAGTGTGAGAATCCCTGTTGTAGATCCCTAAGGTGTGCATCCTTATCAGTGGGATCAAAGCAGATACAGTTGTAACCTGGAGGTTGGTTGTAGATGATGGATTTAATGGTATGCTTAGAATAAGTGCTGATACTGCAGAGGTATCTGTAGTGGTCTGTTGCTGTCTGATACATTATGGTGGTGATATGGCCTTTGCAAAGCTTCTCAGTGGTGTGCAAGAAATGAGTTTGCTGAGTAGTGTGTTCAAAATCAATTTGATGGAGGAGTGGTAATTGTTAAAGTCCTGGTGGAATTTCTATAGAGATTCCTTCCTATATGTCCATATGATGATGTCATCAATGTATTTTGGGATGATAAGAGGGCAGTTGTGGAAGAAGCAGATTTCAAGATTGGCCATAAATATATTGGTGTACTGCCATGCTTGTGCTCATCGGAAATGACGTGTTTTTTGAAGGCATATGGAGTCTCCAAATCTGAAAGTTATTTGGTAGAGTTTAGGAACAAGTACAATGCTATAATCAGGGATAACTTTCCTGATGGTTTATAATATCTTCTCAGGGGTGGGGGGGGTGTTGTTGTAGAAGTGGCATAAACAATGGTCAGAATTTAAATTTAATGAGAATAGATCAAGGGAAAGGTCTGATATCTTCCATTGAATTTCCCTCATTAAAAGAAGTAGGGTTGTACTGACTCATTCTGATAAAGTATACAGGGATTATCTTCCTGTGTGTATGATGATTGCTTACTACAGTGTGGATACTACTAAAATACAAATAGCTGTTCTGATTATTCAAATGTGTGTATTAGC